GATGGGTGTGTCAGAGGCAATGAGATTGGCACAGGATAGAGCAGGGTTTAGGGCTGTTGTACATAGGGTCGCTATGAGTTGCAAATGACTCAACGGCACATAACAACAACATCAATCATATATTGTTTAAATTAATTGCATGTTAGTACTTCATGATATCAAGTCTTTGCTTAATGTAAAGCACATATCCTGTTTTGCATATTTACATTCTGGAATCCTCCTTCGTATTTCCACACAACAATAAATTAAGTTGTTGAAGAATATGAAGAAAATTTTCTCCTGCATAACATGTTCTGCATACAGGTTGAAAGATATGGAGACAGGACACATCCCTGGAGTATGCCCTTCCCAATTTTGAACTATGCAGTGTTTCTTTGCTCTGTTCTGACCCCTGCCTCTTGGTCCAAGTGTAGGTTTTGCATTAGCTAGAAGTGTTCTGGGATTCCTATTTTTCTCAGAGTCAGCCACAGTTTGTTATGGTCCACACAGTCAAACACCTTTCCATAGTCAATGAAACACAGATATACATTCCTCTGGTATTCCCTGCTTTCAGCTAAGATCCATCTAACATCAGCTACAATATGCCTAGTACCCAGACCCCTTCTAAACCCAGCCTGGACTTCTGGTAGTTCTCTGCTGATGTGTTGTTCCAGTCATTTTTGGATAATCTTCTGTAGAATCTTGCTTGTATGTGAAGTCAACGATATTGTTCCATAGTTTCCACACTCTGTTGAGTCACCCTTCTTTGGGATGGGAACAAACATAGATCAGTTGTTCATGTACAACAGAATGTACCAACAGTGTGTTCATGTACAAAAGAATGTACCAACTTTAGCAAAATATTTATTTAGATATATAAGTTAGAAATGTAAAATAGATTAAATGAAGAAACCAAATTGATTCACTGGAGTGTGAGAAATGAGTAGTTACATAATTTATTTACTTACTATGAGGGCAATAAATAAAATCATAGAAGAAAAAGAAAAGGACAGATGCTGGGTCTGGTGGGAGAAGGAGAAAGAGCTGACACAGTCACAGATATGAACACTATGACACATTACTGCTGTCATGTTGTCATCTAGCAGGGATGACAGTGACTCCTCTACAGGTAATTAATTGTGTACCTTCAAGAAAGAATATGTCATAACACTTTGCAATTTACTCAAGTACTACTTCCTCCCTTGTTTGAAAATGTTTCCTTAGGTCCTTTCCTTGGCTGAGTTTCTCTGGCCGTGCATCCTGTTCATGATTCTTATAGTGCTTCGGTTTCAAGAACCTCCCCGTCATAGAGACACATGTAAGTTTCACTTTTACTTATTCTTTCAAATTACAAGTCTGTGAATTAAAAAAAAAAAACCCACACAAAACAAACAAACAAACAAAAAAAAAACCAAACCACAACAAACTCAAAACCAAAAAACAAACAGCTTTATCTCATCTGATCTTTCTTAACTGTGAATTCTGAGTTCCGTATATTATTACAGTAGTAATATTTTTGGGATGTTTTGTCAACAAGTGTCACTTTAGACTTTTTCTTTTAAGAATGATACTCACACATGTTTGCTAACCCTAGCAAACTTTCTCCAGGTAAATGTGTTCAATGTGAGACCTTAGTACATAAAACATCATAAGTAAAAATAGGTCTTGAGCTGTAATGGGGTTCTGTCTAATGATCCTGTTGTAAGTGTGAGTTAAGTTGACCACATTCCTTCTTACTTCATGGTTTTTCATCCGCTGCTACATGGCAGAGTTTTGAATGGTAGAACGTAACCTTGAACATCTATGAGTGAACATATGTTGCTGTTGCTAAGTATTGTGAAGCCATTCACCCAGAAAATGACAACAGAAAGAAATCACGTGCATTCCTACACCACCCTCACAATCATTGTATTGATGTTTGAGCCTAGTTTTTAAGCCTTTGTGTTAATCCATTTTTCTTTTTAAAATTTTTTTTTTATTTTATTGTTTGTGTGTGTGTGTGTACTCTCAAATCAGATCTGAGTGGTACAGGAGGAGATTGCCCCTCCTTCTCCAGCAGAGCATCTGGTAGATTTGAACTGCGCACTCTGAGATTGCAGTGCAGCTTCTTGCCACTAGGCCACCAGAGCTCCCTCATCTTCCTCTCTTTTGGTAACCTTCTTTGACCAAGTACTTTTCCAGGTGCCTTCTTCACCCCCCCGCCCCCCGCCCATTCATTCACTGTTGCACTTTTCTCCCTGCCCACCCCTCACCCCCAGTACATTCTTCTCTTTGAAAAGTAAAAGTTCCCTCATTGTTTTAAAATCCCTCCCCCCATGTCCACTCTACTATGCAGCCTTCGCTTTGGACTCCCATCATGACAATAATACCTAATCACATATCCCTTTTAAACAGTTTTCTACCTCACCTATTTCAATACAGTACACATTATTTATAACGTCTTTCTCAGTATCTCCCAACACCAATATCAGTACTGTTTTACAACAGTGGCACTATGCAGTATTTGTCCCTTTGTGACTGAGATATTTCACTCAGGATAATGTCCACCAGGGTCACCCATTTTGAATATTATTGCCTGAGTTCCTTGTTTTTCAAAGCAGCATAGTATTCCATTGTGTGAATATACCACAGCTTCTTCTCTGTCCACTCATTTGTTGATAACACTTTGGTTGTTTCCAACTCCTTGCTATTGTGAACAAAGCCGCAATAAACATGGGTGTACATATACCTGATTGGGTGCAGTTATGGTCTCTTTGGGGTATATTCCCAGTAGTGGAATTTCTGGGTCAAATGGTATTTCTATTTTCAACTTTTTTTGTTGTTGTTTTCTTATTTTCATTTTTTAAATTTATTATTAAATTCAATGAAAATTTACAGAGACTTTGGATTTCCACTCATTCATTGTTGCACTTTTCTCCCCTCCCAACCTTTCCCCCTAGTACACTAACCTCCTGGAAAAGTAAAAGAAAAATTCTTTCACTGTTTTACAATTTCTCCCCCTCAGGTCCACTCCACTATACAGCCTTCACTCTGGACTCCTGTCATGACAAAAATACCTAATAACTTATCCCTCATAAACAGTTTTCTCCCTCATCTGTTTCAATGCAATATACATTATTGAACCCATCCTTCTCACTCTCCCCCCAGCGCCACACCGCCTTCCACAGTGGTTGTACCATTTTACCCTTACACCAACAGTGAATACGGGTTTCAGTTTCTCCATAACCTCACCAGCAAAGTTGCTTGCTGTTCTGTTAAATTTTGCTATTCTCACTGGGGTGAGATGATATCTCAGAGTTGTTTTGATTTGCATCTCTCTTAGAGCTAGGGATTTTGAACATTTCTTCATGTGCTTGTTGGCCATCTGGATGTCTTCTATGGTGAAGTGTCTGTTCATATCCTGTGCCCATTTTTCAATTGGTTTGTTTACCTATATCTTATTGTGATGCCAGGTGTCTTCTGATAGCATGGCCAAGGTATGGAGATTACTTCTAAGAATTCATCAGTAAATTACTCACAGCAATATTGTATGATGCACAGAACAAAATCCCAAAACTGAGTTGCAGTTATAGGTCACTTCCTTGGAACTTAGGGTACTACAAATTTTTAATCCATTTTATGGATTCCTTTCCTCCAGGTTTCTTGCAAGCAAGGGACCTGCCAAACCAAGGTATTTTCCCCTTTGTCCAAAGTCTTCTTTGTAACACCGGATCACAGTGCAGGAACGTAAGCTATGATCAGCCTCCCGAGCATCATTTTCGGTAAGTGAAACACTCTCAGAATTTGTGGGATGCTATCTGGTATTCTTTTTAGTAAAGTCTGGATAATCTGTGACAAGTTAGAAACTTTGAGAGTACAACATCAGTGCTAAATGAAGAGCGTTTTCATTAATTTCAGAGTCTTATAATAATGGCTCTAATTACTGATTATTTTCCAGTAAAGGATCCTTGCTGACTGGTAAAATATATTTGTCTCTTATAGTTTATTTTCTGTAAGTTAAAATTTCTATCTTAAAAATGTTGTTGTTGTGTGATGTCATAGAACTGACCCGTAGGTAATTCTTCAGTGGGTTTTTAGAGACAGTAAGTCACATAAGAGAAGATTGCCTATCCTTCTGCTGAGCTGCTGATGGATTGGGACTACATACCTTCGGAATTGGCGTGCAGCTTCTTACCACTAAGCCACCAGAGCCCCCTACCTTAAAGTCGCTACATTTCCATTCGTTCCAATATACACAAGATAAGTTCTAACTGATTCAGTTACTAGTTTTTTTTAGTGTGCTCTTAGCTGACCAGTATCCTCTTCCCATCTGTGATTAAATGAAAATAGCGTCCAGCCATCTCTTAATTTTCTGTGTAACTCCCTATAGAAATTAGATGATGTCTACATTTTCTGCTCTGATTCCTTAGTACTAAAACTTGCCTGTGTTGGCTAGGGTCTTACTATACTCTGAAGAAAAAAGAGAAAGAGTGGGTGGTAATTCATGTAAGAAGTCAAAGAGAATGGGAAATTAACGTGAAAGACATTCATGCAAGAATGTTAAGAGAAGGGATGTTAAATGCTCTGAAAATTTCTCTCAAGAGGAGTTAAGAATGAAGGGAAGTTATGTATGAGTGTGGATGTATTTATTAGATATGAATGATCTAAGTTTTGTTTTACTTTTATCCTCTCTGGTTTTGAACGACCTACAGTATTTAAGTGTAAAACATGTTATTACCTTTTTAGTTCAACTTTAAGCTTCAAGATGAAAATGAAAACATTCTAGATAATTTTACATACATCTGGTACAACATTTGCAAATGAATGATAATAACTTTTTAGAGAAGTGATAGAAAGTATGATATTAAAAAGAAATTTGGGAAAAGAAGAAATTTGGATATAGTATAAAACAATAGACATGGAATTTTTTATACTCTTGACTATCGTTTTTTTTCTTCTTAATATTTTTGTGGTTGTTTGTTATGTGCCGTCGAGTCGTTTGCGCCTCATAGAGACCCTATGTACAACAGCCCTAAATCCTGCTTTATCCTGTGCCAATCTCATTCCCTCTGACACACCCATCCTGATTACCCCAGCCACTGAATCAATCCATCTCATAGAGGGTCTTCCCCTCCTGCGCTG